ATAGCGCTTTCACACCTTGTCCTCACTAGCAGTCGCAGCACGAGACAACTGTCCACACACACACACACACACACACACACACACACACACACACACACACAAATCATACACACATTTGAAAATGCTAACTAAGTACTAGCCCTCTGAACGAGACCAAAGATTTCTATTAACCTCAGGGAGAAAAAAAAGATGAAAGAACCTGCACAGTAAATAGATCTTTTACTATAAATGTTTGGTATTACTTCAGAATAAGACTTTATATATGTCTTTATAAAGGGATTATGAATGGTCATTAATTAGGCCAATTACATCACAAGCAGCTATTACACCTAAATACAAAGAGCAACAGTGACATGCTGCATGCAAAATAGTGAGCTCACTATTAAATATTGTTAAACTTCAGATCTTGCTGATTACTGATCTTACACTGTCTTCTCCATCTGTCAACACTAAACCTGTCAGCTTCATCAGATATTCATATTCATCAGACGTAACAGCTCACTGTCGCCCTTTTTATTAGCACATTATAGCTGTTTAGTCATGATTTTTAAGGTGTTAGTGACCTAATTAATAACCATCAATAAACTCATTTTAAACCAATCATAAACCCTTCATAAGGGTGTAGACCATGGTTTCTCAACACAGTCCTTGGAACCCACCAGACAACTCCACATTTTCGGTCTGACCTAGCGTGCTGGGATCTGGAATTGAGCAAATTTGTGGAAACATCAGGTGGGCTGCAAGGATCATGTTGAAAAATAATGGTCTAGATCAGGTCAGGGCTGCCCAAAGTGTGGCCCGTGGGTCAAAGCTAGGTAGGAAGGAAGTTTGATTTGGCCCACCAGAAAGCTGGCTAACCCCCACTCTCTCAGCCAACAAGAGAACACACATTTTTTACAACCTCTTTTTTTAGCTTCTTACTTTTCTTTTAAAATGTAACTTTTATATGGCAGCTGTTGATATCTTACCTTGAAGAATGGACCTTTTTTCCCGTTATTCTCATATCCATACGTAACTATGAACAATGGTAACTATAAACTGTGTGTTCTAAGGTAATTGTACTTCTGAACCAGACTATATGTGAAAATAAAATGTCAAATAAATAAATAAAATGTTATTTTTATACTTACAATAACAAAACATTTAATGTGATCATATAAAATGTACAAGAAAAAAAATCTAAGACCTTACAATTATAACTGGAATAGCTAACAGAAAGTAACTGGTTCATAAAGACCACCTTTTTGACGAAATTCTTTCATGAGTTGCTAGCTAGCTGCTTTTTGGACCCTCAGCTCACTACAAACATACTTTGGGCCCCCACACAAAAAGTTTAGCCATGCCTGGTGTAGACTATCCTGATCACATTATGAAGATTATGTCCTCATTAGTTCAACAATCAAAATGTAATAAATGAAGGTCATGTGTATAGAGAGGAAGAGGACACATTAGAAAATCTGATCTAGCTTTGAGGGTTTTTTAAGTGGTGTAAAAGTGTCTCATTTTCATATTTATAAACATTTATTCAGAAAGACAGAGGGAGACCCTTTTAGGACTGGACCTGTGCCTGCAGCACTGAAGCATCCGGCTTTGAAAAGCTATTAACCTGGAAAAGAGTTGAGCCTTTCCAGCGCAGACATTAAAGACAACTCTCCCTGCTCTACCTCCTCCTTTATCAGGGCTCCAGTGAGCCTTTTTCCCTTTCTCCCTCCCCTGACAAACAAGCATGATAAACTAGCGCAGAGCTAGTGAGAGCTTGTTTTTGTTCCCTTTGTAGCTAGTGCTGCAAGTGGGAAAACAAAAGCTCTGAAGAGAGCCATTACTCGCTCTCTGCTCCGGCTGCCATGCAGCAGGTAATAACAGAGCAGAACATCTGGGGGACTACAAAACCCTCCAGGACTTTCACAAACCGGACTTCAAACCCCACTAGACTCTGCCCTGGCCTACATTGTCTCCCACTGTGCTTTCATGTGGTGAAGGAGAGCATGTTACTGACAACTTAACCCTTAGTCACAGTTATCGTTGACTACAACAAAAGCACGGTATAAGTTACTCTTCATTATTTTTCACTGAAACAAGTGGAAAACTTTACGTTTGTATGTCATTATGAATTGAAGCTGACAAAAAGCTATTTTTGCGAGAACGCTCATGTTGCAGAACAAGAAAAATACAACATCTTGTACAATTTTGTCATAGCTTGACATTGAGGAACAGAGAAAAGTGAAAAATGCAGACTCAAACCTGTCGATACAGTGAGTAAATCGACTGTAAACCTAACTATGTAACTGTAATTAATGAAGTAATTATATAAGAATAATTGAATGGATTCATTCCAAAATGTAGATTCATTTGTAATGATTCTGGATATTACAAGTTATTGAAAAGAGCAACAGTTGATGGAATAATATGGAATAAAGGTGGCATTTATCATTATATAGCACTGATATGTCTTGTAAACATAAAGCCTACCCCCAATAACGTACGTCAAGAAAAAAGGAAATTTTTGAAAGTGGTCTATATCGCAAAATCCTTCAGTTATGTATTGTAAATCTGATGTACAGCTAAACAGCAGTGTCTCTGGAGCCCTAAAGGGTAAGCATTTAATATTTAATACTAATTTAATTATGTAACTCCCCAAGTAATTACATTTAAATAATAATGTAAACTGGCTGCAAGAAGTCTGGACTTCAAAGCCATAAGAGCGCTAAATGCACAAATTTTCCATAATGCCAGAATCACACTAATGCCAATAACCTTTAGCAGAGGTCTGAGCTGCAGCAATTCACTCTGCCTCTTCCTCGCTCTCTCACACACAAGCGAGTGTAAGAGAGGTGCTAATATACAGCTGAGCAGTGTAAATGAGAGGCTACAGACTGTGCTAACGAACAAGGGGATTTTAATTGGAGTTTGAGTTGTAGAGCCTCTAAAAGCTGAACTAATGCGTGTGCCTGGAGACTCCCAGCGTAACGGCCAGAGACACACACAGCAGCGAGGAGCAGACTTCACACACTGCAATCAATGCAGTGCCACTCGCACCTCCCATGTGCTGTCGACGTGTGAGAACATGTGCTTGTGCTGCGTCTGCAGAGACGCATGTGAGAGTGTGTCAGTGCGTCGGGTGACAATGACAATGAGACAGAGAAGGAGAGAGGGAGAGAAAGGTAGAGAGAGAGAGAGATAGTAAGAGAAAGATGAGTGGGTTTGTGCATGTGTAACACAAAGAGACCATCTCCTGTGTGATCTTTAAAGCGTGAAAAACTAAACGTGTACCTGCATGCAAATCCGCCTGTGTCAACTCATTCCAACAAGAGCATACCAGAATCAGCCGTACTGCTCCGCAACACTCAGACACCAACAGTCTATTAAAAAGAACCACCACACTAACCTCTCCCACTACTCTATCCTAAGCAATACTGCTTTTAACCAACTGTCTCTGTCATAACAAAACCTCAGATCTTCAAAATGGGAACTTTTTAATCTTGTGGAACCAAGAGTCCTGCCAGCTATCTGTTTTTTATACAGTTTATTTTGTACTGTTTATCTCTTATTTATACAGAGTAATGATAAAACAGGACTGAAGTGTGACATTAGTGTGACTAATGTCTGAATTTTTCAGCTTTGTTACATCATATTCTTTACATGTCAAATAAATGCAGCAACAGCACTGAGAAATTTGAGTTTATCTGGAGAAGAACAGATTAAATGTTTGGAGCTGGGTTAAGGGTTAACCAAAGCAGGAAAAATATTCTTAAAATTAAATGTATAATAAAGGGCCCATAACTTACATTCTTCTTGCATTTTATCTTTTCCCTTGAGGTCTACTTATAACAGTTCTGTGTTTCTACGTACCAAAAAACATCATAGTTCATTTCTACATGGCCATTTTTCAACCTCTCGTCGTCCCTTAGAATTAAACAGACTCTTTTTGTTACTGTGCCTCTAAGACTGACATAAGACAAATAAGCTCTGTTCTGTTTGGCTGTTTTGTATTGCGCCTTATTCAAAAAGCACTTAGAGCTGAAACGCTTCCTAGAACTAAAATCTGAATGGGCAAAGCTAAACTGCTATCGGCTGAATGGGTGAATAAATGTAAACGAGTTGGTTCTTGTGACACCACAGAAACAATGAATTCAAAGTTGGCTGTTTTTGCAGCTTAGTTTCCATATATGCACTGTATGTGTTTCCTTTTGAAACTTTAATGATGCTTACACATTACTTTAAAGACCTTTATTTAAAGAAGGTGAGGGAAATTTATTTTTCCATGATATCGGCCCTTTAAAACAAAAGCAATTTATCACAAAAAATTTTGGACCAATTTTGTTGGTCCATTCACTATAAATTCTTCACATAAATCAATAGATAACTGGTATTTTCAAATTCTCTAAAATAGTAATGCACACTGATATCAGAATCATATTGGTATTGGCAGATACTCATTTTAAAAAATTACAAGCATTGGATAGGTGTTTAGATTTTACCAATATTTGATAACATGTTTACTGTACTCCGGAAGAGCAGAATGTTTAGGCAATACTATTGTGAAAAAAAGTCTGTATTTTACTCATTTTACCTTTACAATCCTATAGAAATAAATGTGATATTTCTCCATAATAGTTATCCAGATGAATTTATTCATAATTTCAGCATTTTATAAATACATATATGTCAGCATCAGCACTAACAGTTGCAAATAAGTATTTCTGCCTGGACACCTGGATTCCAATTTCGGTATATCCCTATAAACATTAGCAAGAGTTTACTTTTTGGTTTTGATAAGACAGCGATACTGATCAATTCTGGACAACCACAGTGCTATCACACTGAAGACATACTGTACTACTACTCAAAGTTCATGAACTATACTTGTAATCATCAAGGTATTTTCATCCCTTCAGTTAATCGTTCATGCTGGCAGTGATTGGCTTTGAGTGATAAACAGTGACTGTGCTGGGCTTCAGTGAAAGCAATGCGTAGCTGGCAAGTGTGAGGGCAGCTCTTACCCAGGTCCAGGATGATGAGCTGGGCGCTGGCCTGAATGTTCCCAGCCTCGTTCTCAGCCAGGCACTGATAAAAGCCCTCATCAGACCTCACCAAGCCCAGCACCTGCAGGTTGTGCTGATCCTGTGGCAGAAACACACACAAATAAGACAATTATATACAGTATCAATTCATCATCCTACAACCGGCTGCCAAATAAAAAGCTGCCAACACAGGCTTTTTACAAAATGAGTGAGAAGAATTTATCACAGAATGAGGTCAAGATCAGTCAGAGTTATCTATACAAAGGCACAGATGTTCTGATATGCACTCTCTCAAACACAAGCTCATCAATTGAGTGTTTATTTGACAGTGGCATGGACAAACACGTACTGGTACTGCAGAAAACATTACAGAAGTCTACTTTACCATAGGCCCTATACATGGCAGAATGTAACACATGCAGGTTTTTTAGTACGAGGCTTGGGCAGTATGACTATATTTATTATTACTGTGCTAAATTATTATGCTTTTCTGAGCATATTGTGAAAATCGTCAGTACTTCTAGAACACAGTCCAGCTGCATGTTTCACTACAAACACAGCATAATGATTTAGCACAGCACATGAAATGTTAAAATCACTGTATTACACAGGTAAAAATGACTGTATTAATAGTTTTTGATACTATTTTATAGATGGCGCCACTAATTCTTATTTGTCTGTTACAACTTATCAAATGACAGAAGAAATAAATATCGTGACATATTGTGTATCGTGAAAATTTCTAGTAGTGTTGTTATATTTTTGTCATATTGTCCACCGCTATTCTGTATACAGGTATAAGTTTAGGCCTAAATTTAAAAGGATTTCCAATTGGAAATGGATCCAAATCAAGTGGTAAATAGCAGTTCACATAGTATTTAATCCAACATATAAAAACAGTTTAGAAAGCAGCCCCCTATAGAGAATCTTAGAACATTTTTAACAGGATACTTTGGTCTCACCACTATTTTGAAGTAGTCACTGGGGATGACAGCATCTCCGTTCTTCAGCCACTTCACTGTGGGGGCAGGTGAGCCCGTGACTTCACACTCAAAGATGATATCCATGGCCTCATGGGCGTACATATTCGAGGGTTTCTTGAGGAACTGAGGAGGAACTGGAAGAGCCAAAGAAAATCGGCGCATTACAAAAGCTGGATTGACTACAAAGCAGACGTAGCAAAAGAGAAGGGACAACCAATTGCTTGCCTCATCAACTAAAGACAATGAATTGGCAACAATGTACAGAGAAAGGCTGACAATCTCTCATTCTTTACATATACAGCCAAGAATTCATTTTGGAGCAATAAAAGGGGAAATCAATAAGGTTTAGCTGCCTCCTACGCTCAGTCAGCTAGAAAGAAAAAAGAATGAAACAAAGCCAAGATAAGATGCATTCTCCAGCTTTGACAGCTTTTGAACTCGGTGTCGCCAGTCAACATCAGCGGTAATGTATTGAGTGTTGATTTAAAGCGATAGGCCTGAAAGTGATCCTGCTCTCCAGCGGCGTAACTCTGGATCTCTGTGGGCTCGGCCTGGACCGCATCCCTGCGCTGAGCTTTGCCTCACTGCTGAAATATGCACTCTAAGGCCTTGAAGGGACTGCTTTCAATGGGCAAATGAGAGTGGCGAGAAGAAAAGCATTATTTCACAATGAGAGATGACAATCTGATATTTGATAGTGGTGGAACTGGCAGGGTTGGGGGTGGGGGGTTGTTCGGGTGGGGTGAAGGGCATCATTTCAACATTAGGGCTTGGGGACTCCCACACAGAAGTGGAGCTGGCAAGCTGCTCTAATGCAAAGAGGTGTTTTAAGAGGATTATGACAGGGTTATAAATGAAATGCCTACATTCTCTCAACATGTACTTGCATGTACACTGCTAGGCTGTATGTGTCTAAGGGCAAATTTTCAAGTGCAACCCAAACCCATATTTAGAACGTGTATTTAACAAGAATCAGAGATCAGGGGCACAGAACAAATAACATTTAGATACGAAAAAAATTAGAAAAGAACAAACAGAACTAAGAATGTAAATGACTAACTGAGAACTGTCTAATAAAGAAGGTTTCATTGCTATTGGTTAAAAATAATAATTTAATGTATAATTTAAATAATATACAACTCAGTTGTTGTGTATGTTTATGTGTACATCATGTACTTTATAGCTTTAAACACCTTAGAACTGTAACAATCCATTCTATGACTGATAATTTGGTATGTTGCATCCTTGATTTTAGGCAATAACAATTAACTGCTGACTGACGGCAGTCAAAATAATTTTCCCTCTCTAAACAGAACATACAACCATGTAAAGACATATAATGTGCAGGTACAGACAACATGTTTTAAAAAACATATAATGTGGGCCAAGAAAATGATGCTGATGCTATGGAATAAATAACTGTAGCAAACAGGTTCTAAATATACGCCACTGCCCACCAGAGAAAGCTGTCATAAAGCACAGTAAGATTGACAGTGAAGGTTCTCGAACCTTCTTCTGGTCAAGAACCTTCTTCTTTTTGACCATAGCTGCACACAGATGTGTACTAGGATGGTACACTCCGCAATTTTCAATTTCCAGAGCCCTCTGAAATAAATATGCCCTCTGATCTAGCAAATCCACCTCTTATAAAAGCAAAACTCCTTCATGTGAATGATGGCCTTTATCCATTTTAGAAATTACCTCCAATGACTTCCGACTTCACTTTAAGCACACCCAATATGTTAATAACATATGCCAGCACGTTGCAGAGAAAGACATGAAAGAAGGGGACACTCCATAATTTAGAGCTTATCCAGAGCTTGCTACTTAAAGACTTTCAACGTTTCATCCCCTCAGAAAGCCCAGTGTCACTGCAAAGAGAATGTCAGCAATGTGATCATTATATTAAGTGGTTAAAAAACCAAAATCTCTTCACTGAAGCAAGAAAATGCTCTCTACTCAGAAAAGACAGCACATTCTCTCAATCTGTATTTTTATTAATAATATATTCACTTTTGCAGCTGCTATACGGTGCATTCAGAATTTGCAAAATGCATTTCTTGTGGTCTAAAGAGGAAAGTGTACTGCTCCACAAAACTGAAATGCTTGGATAAATAAACACCTGAGCACTATTTTGACTCTGCTCTACTACAGCACTGTTAACATGGTGGTGGAATCAGAAGTCCAGAAGAGTCCGAATGATGGCTCCAAATCATGCATCACTAAGGCCAATCAACTGAGCTTTCTATGCTCTGCCCAGAAATGTGTTCTTTAATAGCATCTGATGAGATTAAACAAGCTTCACAAAACGTTCAACCTAATGGGGGGCGGGGATCACATTCACTCTAATAAGAAATTAAAGGGCACAGCTCAACAAGTCTTAATGAATACACCTAAATTTAGAGCGTGTTATTAATTTCAAAGTATATTTTGTATGCATATGAAAGGTCACACTGTTTGGTTTGATCAGGCATGGTTTGTTGTGTAATCCAGTTAACATTAGTGGGGTGGCAAATTCACTGTCATCATTTTCCACCTGTCTAGTTTTGTCATTTGTCATTTGCGTACAGCAAATAAACACTGATAACACAGCGCACATACAGTGAAAGCACACCAATCCCATCACCATCTGTGTAGTGAGTTGCAGTTTTAGATAAGGTAGTGCACTTTGTTGAAGTGGAAGGAAAGGCTAGTGTCTTCGTGTTAGCCCTCAGCCCTTAGCCTGGAGACTAGCCAGCTTTCTGTGTGCATGGCCAGCAGCTTCGGGTCATATGGCGATTTCAGTCTCTGGTCCCCACAACAAGCCAAGAAGCTACGTACCTACTTGGCTACTACTTAGAGTGTGAATGGCTTGTAATATTTAGCAAATTCCAGCAGCGTCTAATGCTCATAGCTGAAAGTGCGAATGAGATAAAGAGATGCATGTATTGTATTTGCATGAAACAACATTGAGCATTGCTTTTGTCAGGACCAAAGAAGCCGCTCTGTGCTTACAGACACTCGGCTTTATCCTGTTAGGATTAGAAAGTAATTTTGTCATCAAAAGACTATAAGATCGATCCCTGACGATGCTACAGCCATCCGTGGCCGTAGCCATGACCCTCCTAGCGCCTGTGGTATCGTGTGATTGGGGGAGCCCTAACTCTCGGGTAGAACTAGATACGACTAAATTGGAGAGAAAATTGGTGAAAAATCCAAAAGGTGAAGGGACATCCCAGAATAATCCTGCCATTGTTAATCCACAAAAATATGTTTATTAAAGCATCTCAAATGCTTTAATTTGATGAAAATATTTATAAATACACTATGACATATACGACAACAGTCAGAAATCTTAAACATACCGCGGTATACATTTTTGTTATACAGCCCAATACTACATTTTGATTATTTACAACAACATAGTCTCTGTTGCGTACATCTCTGTAGCGAAGTAGAACATAATGTAGTGACTCTGAACAACGGTCGCTACAATTTCTTTCGAGGTTGAAAGGGATTTGGAACATTTGTGGGTGAAGTGTGGATCAGTCAATTACATGTTCATTAACCATCATTACAATTACAGCCATGTTAAGATAAACCAGGCAACATTGCAATAATTGCATTTCATTCACCTGCTCCATCAAAATCAGCCGCTTCTCACGCTAGTTAAACAGCAGCTTCTCAGTAAACGAGAGATCCTGCAAACACAAACTTCCGCCAAGCCCCTGCAGGCATGCAGATCAGTCTCTGATGTTCTTGTTTTGAGTGTTTTATGAGCAGATCCCAGATCCCACAGCTCAACAAAGTGCATCCCAGAGTATCTGTGACTACATTACTGAAGAGCACATTTGTCTCAATTAATGAATGCAATCACACTGTCATTCAAAACAATTTGCAATTACCATTTTTATCACAACTGTGTCTGCATCCCAAACGTCTACTGTAGGCAGAACTTTGCGCTCAAGAGAGGCAGGAAAAGAAAAGCTTCTTTCTGTCTGTCAGTACCCAAATCACATCTGCCGTCTCTCCTGGGGAGCCGGCTTCCGCAGCACAGAGACAAACAGATCCAACCGTGCGTCAGTCTTTATAATAGAACGACTAAAAAAGGCCTTGGAAATATAAAAGCGTAGGAAAATATCATCAGAGGCGTGTCCCGAGAGACCTCCATCCGCCTATCCGTGAAGAAACCAGCAGGAAGGGTCACAAAAAAAGTGAAAACATCACACCTCTAGTCAGAGAGGTGACAGACGAGGTGATACACACACTCATAAGCACAACTATGTGAGGGGAAAGTGAATCATTCTCTTTCACAGTTTTCTATTTCTGAGTCTGTCACATAAAACTAACACTGTTGTAGCTGATGCCTCAGCTGCATTCACATCTCTTGTTTCTGAGGCAGGTATAAAGAAAAGGCTGAATCACACAGCGTCCCTATTAAACTTTTATATGCCTCAGCCTGGCCCGGCAATCAAACTTTTATTGTGTAAGTAGGCCTCCACTCAGAGACATGAAGGACGTGGATCAAAGCTAAACCCATTCCAATTCTCAGACTATAATAACAAACATGAGAGCAACACACTGTCACCATCTAAACCGCCCTCGCCATACTCTCTGAGAGCACCGCACTGTTAAAACTGACCTATATTTCCAACCGTGCAGGGTTCCTCCATTAACGTTTGCAACCTGGGTTTATTTTAGAATGTACTTGCTCTATTAAACCTTTTGAAGCATGAGAATCCTCTAATGCTCTGTGAAGATTAGCAACACTATGAGAAGACTGAGGGAAGTAAACAAGCAATAGAGAGCCTCGCTTTGAAGTTTGCTTCAACAAGAATAGCTGAAGTACAGGTACTTAACCCTGACATGCGTATACACTCTCTGGCCAAAAGTTTGTGGACACTTGCTCATCCAATGTTTCTTCCAAAATCAAGAATATTAAAATGAGTTTGTCCCTCTCTGTTGCAGGAAGTGTCTTTACTCTTCGGTGAAGGCTTTACACTAAATGTTGGAACACTGCTGTGAGGATTTGATCGCATTCAGCAGCGAGAGCACTAGTGAGATTGTGTATTGATGGTTAGATGATCAGTTCTGGATCTCAAACGCCGCTCCAACTCATCCCAAAGGTGTTGGTTGGAGCTCCATCACTAAAGAACCCAGTTCCACTGCTCCACAGCTCAGTGCTGGGGGGCTTCATACCCCTCTATCTTACACTCGGCATTGGACATGGTGACCTTAGGCTCATGTGTGGCTGCACCAGAGCACCCTGTTTTATTGTGAATGCTTTTCTATGAACACTACAAGCTGTGTGTGCATCCAAACTTCTTTGCAATGAGTGCACCTTAATGCAGCTGAATTTACTAATAAGAATGGGTGTCCACAAACTTTTGTGTATATAGTAGCAGTCAGAAATTTGGACATATCTGACTGAATGTGTGCCTTTCATACTCTTTTGAATTTTTATTTTCAATTCAAAGCAATTTTGCCTGAGAAGTGAGTAATCTGTCATTTAGAGCTTCGATGAAAGTTAGAAAATGGTGAACTACAATCATTATATCATCCTAATTACAGTAATTATACTCCCTCACTGTGTGATCTGTGGGGTAGTAGAGTGTTTGAGTATACTGAGCCTGAGCCTACTTTTGGACAATCATCTAAAGAAGTTCACCTAAAAATAGCTCATTTTAAAGCTCAGTATTTTTTTTCCTTTTTTGATTTTCTGCCCAATTTGGTTGTGTCCAGTTCCACCTACCGCTTAGGTTTCCTCCTCTCACATGATGCTACTAAGCTGGGAGGGTGAAGGCCAGTACTTGTTTTCTCCTAGACATGTGAAACTCCACCACATCTGATCAAACTGCTGTTAACGCAATATTTTTGCGCAGCTTACCATGCTTGGAGGAGAACACCAACTGCCAAATCCATTAAATCAACTTACATAGCACTAGCACTGCACCGAGTGAAGGCTGTGGCATCACTTGGGATCAAACTCACAACAAACACAACAAATTTCCTGACAACAGGGCCAACAATTTGATGTTGCTACTTAGGAGCAGCTTAGAGGTTTTTAAAGGACATCTTCATCAAAAAAGAAAAAGTGATATTGTGCCATTACCAAACGTGCACATTACCAAAATGCAAGTGGAGGACTATTTACCCTACAGTAAACCTCAGACCGTAAGCTGCATAGGATTCACACCTTGTACAGTGAGCTGGGCTTGCGTCTCGATGGTCTCATTGCCGTTGTCCGCCTGGCAGCTGTACGTTCCAGCGTCGTTCTCTGTTAGGTTGGTGATCTGCAGGACGCCTCCACCAATCACAGCAAACCTCCCATCACTGCAAACAAACAGCAAAGCAGTCATTAAGGAGGGGGGCATGTGCATCATTCAAACGTTTAACCACACAAGGTGTGATATTTGTTCATTAAATGGGACAAACTGTCAAGAGACGCTCTGAAAAGCCTTCAGCATCAACAACACTTATGAAAGCTTCTCTACTGCAAAGTGCGACAATCGGGATGTTTCACCACCTCCTGACAGCACGTTCTTCACACAGCAATGCAACCATAAGCATTTTTTTTCTGCACATACTTTCAACCATCATCTGTGTTTGTGTAGTACACAAACAAGCTGGTACTCGTTTTAACCCAACATCAGCAATAACATTATGTTTTTGTGCAATTTAAATGTTTAATCCAGCGAACCCCTATGAAAGTTTCAGACAGTGTATCAGACGTTTTCAAACAACAACAATGACAACAACAACGCTAAAAGGCTGCAAAAACTATGTACATTACACACATTTACTGTAGTCTGCATCAGCAGACTCAGAACAAGGCGAGGTTCTAGTTAGTGATTAGGGCTTTCAGTGTTTATGACTGTCTATGTTTAAACATTTGTAGACTTTTTACAAGTTTTTAATCATTCCTAATTAGGAAGTGGTTGAAAGTTATTGGGTTTTGAATGCAGTTGTTTAACCATTTTGCTGTCTGATGTTTCCTTTCCCTTGCAATGAGAATGTAAATGTAAAATAAATAAATAAATAAATAAAACAAAAATAAAGGAAAAGAAAAAAAGACACTGTAGTAAACATGATGAATATCAACATGCTGAGACAAACACACACTGTTTCAAGTTCAGTCCAAAGGTGTACAGAGATAACGTCCCCTTACGTTTTGCAAATTTCCCCCGACAGATCACTGAATGACCACAGATCAAGAATTTAGAGTCCTGCCAGAGGAGCAGTGCATGTGTATTAGAGAAAGAGAGAGAGAGAGAGAGAGAGAGAGAGAATCAATAGGTAAACACCAGTGCAAAGCAGAAACAGTGTATGGGGCCTGTGGGGACCTGATGGATTCAGGGTCTCAAATCCAATCTCCCTCCAATCTTATCCACTCACTATAGACAGCAGAAGAGGATTCATCTTAGCATCTTAGAGATATTCTTATCGACTTACAAAGTCCCTCACTTAATTGGCAATACAAATCTATCTGCAATCTATTTCACTGATGTACTTTTTCGGTTGTCAGTTAACGCTGCCATCATTACCGTTTTTATCCATGCTCATAAATACAGCTACACAGGCTGTGAGTGTCATGCCTGTACCTAGGCTTCACGGCCTAAAGCTGCTTCGGACTGAATCTAAGAGTGGACCCTTGAGCCCAAAGGTTGGAAAATTCTCTGTGTACTTAGCCATAGCTAACCTTTAATTTGACAGACACAAGACAATGTTTACATTGTGCTGCATCTAGTAGGCAGTTTAATTCATTACGGACAGTGAGCAGTAGTTAATGGGTGACTTGAGACGCTGCGATATAACAATAGATGTATCACTAAAAATGAAAATGATTAGGTTCTGAAACACTGAGCAGTAGCGGGTCCAGCAGAGCGATGAGTGGGGGGAAAAAGCCACTAACATAGTAAAAAGTGTATTCATGAAGGCAGGTCTCTGAATATCGCTGTATCTTAAGATTAAAGAGCATGTTAAAGGAGAACGGAAAATGAACGTTATCTTCAACGTGGGTTTTCCAAACATGCTCCTCTGACAGACTCTCGAGAAATTCAGCAGCTTCTTTTAGCAGTTAATCAATCAATGCCAGCTGTTTTGCTGGGTGCTACTAGGCTCTTTTGAGGACAATTACAGTCATTGGTGGTGAATGTACTCGCAAAAGATGCACACAGCATCACAGCTTTTGTATTATTATTTTTGTCACAATCGACAAGTTAAAAACAAACAAAAACAGATATTTACCCAAACAGAGCTCATTTTGAGTTAATCACTTAAACAACTTACTGCAGAAGAAAAACATGGCCATGTGTTGTGGTAAGATGTTAAGCACTGAAAATCTCATAACTAACTACATCAAACTTGCAATATTTTGCATACATTAAAGGAACGTAGAGAGTTGCTTGTAGAGAATAACAGGTTTTACATGACTTTTCATTAAACACATCAACAGATGTTTGCATATCTCTATCTCATATGTGTATGAGGTGTGGAATCTGCTGAAGTAGATGCCAAATCCAATCTGGGAGGTGCTGAATCAAATTAAGCCCTGACTAAAAGAGGCCTACTGTTAAAGATGGCCAATCCACTCTGAACCAAAACAGTGAGTCAGAAACATGTGTGAAGCTTTCAGTGTCATTTGGCTTAAATATTGTGTTGTCAAATGTTAAACCAATATTCCCCCATCAAAACCTATCCTAAACTGTTGGAATGAATATTAAAAAAGTCTATGTTTGTTGAAATAAAGAGACAGTAAAAGAAACTCATGTATAAATACACTGGCCCTTCTGAATACAAGCATCCACAGAACCTTCACACTCACAGAGCTTATCTTTGGCTTGTGTCTGATATCTAAATGCACAGAGAAATATAAATTTAGACTTACCGTCTGTAATAATAGCACACAACACTTTAAAAAGTCTGAGAGAAGCAGAGCACACCTCGGGGACTCGTGTACCTCACAAAATAACTGAAGCGAGAGAGCAAAGCGAGTGCTAACGTGCTAAGGAACTCCCAAAAGAGTGCAAGAGAGGTGGGGACAGGTGAAAGATGCTTAATTAAAAAGAAACTAAAGAGGTAGAACAGTCACTGCATACAAAGAGCTATGGTTAATTGTCTTTTAGAGCAGCAGCAGTGCTTCAGTGGACAGTGGCAAATGATGGCTGATAGTGAGAGAGAGGCTGAAAGGGGCTCCAGAGGAGGAATGAGAGACACCTTTCATGACCTTCACACATGTTTTACGATGAGTCAGTCTGCTCTGTGAACCTGACTATATATACTGACTATATATATATATATATATATATATATATATATATATAGAGAGAGAGAGAGAGAGAGAGAGAGACAGAGAGAGAGTGCCTTCATAAGTGTCACGCTTCCTGGCGCTCAGACAAACTCTAATTCTCTTAAGGACTCCAACTCCCAAGATGTATTAGTCAGTCAGGTGACCCAGCCAGCCAATCATCCACCATTCATCAGACCTCAGTCACTGGAATTCTAAGTGCTTTCACTGGTTACCTCTTGTTTGTATACACCTGTCAGTTTGTTTCATTCATTGTGAGGTACTGCCTCTGTTTTGCCAGAGCATATCAAGCCTTTCTTATTTATTTATTCTCCTATTATGACCCCGTTTTGCCTATCATTGTTGTTTTTTGCATTTCCCCCTTTGACTAAGGTTACCGGTTTGCTTGCTTTTCAATTTAGACTCATGCTTATTTTCTTACAACTCTTTTTGTCTGATCCCATGTACCATGTTTTGCTCTTTTGGTTTTTGACCTGGTCTGCTCTTTGGGATTGTCCTCTTTCTGATAAACCTTATGTTTTTTTTTAACATGCACGAGTGTCTGGTTTGTTCACCCAGCATTACAATAATATGGAGATCGATCTCTAATAGAGAAAGATCACTGGTTCTGGAGCACCTCATATACATGAAGGAGGTGAGAGGGGTCAAAATACCACAACAACAGCAAACAGACGCAGTGCATCAGCATGGTCAATTTCAAAACAAAGGAAACGGATTTTGACTAAGTGCCAACGATTCACACAAAAGCATCCTTTCATGAGAGGAATCTGTCATCCCAGGAATTCCTGCATGATCCGCCAACTTTCCAGACACACACTCCAGCGTTCCAGCCCTAATCTGTGTTGCAGGAGGGAGCTGTTTAAATATGATCCAGAAGTAAGATACAACTGATCTACGACCACCTAGCACTGCACAAATGCTAATCTCTACCATAAAGGGAACCCATGCAGGCTGCTCTGAGTTCACTTTAAGAGGCCACATTCCCCTCATACTATTGATCCGCCTGGATTAAAGAACAGGGCAAAAGCACTCTCGGACTCACTCAAGGGATTCCGTTCTCCGTGCACGCTAAATGCTTGTTTATGCTTGGCTTGTTATGAATGACCACTAGGGCTGACAAGGAATGGTCTTTGCATACCGTTCAGCAGGATCTGTTTAGTCAGTGCCTGCGGACTGTAAAATGATCTCGAGATAAGGGTTAGAACAACAAAGCATCTGGCTGCAGCCTGCATCGAGGCAACAAACAATGGTGTTGTGAACGCATGGCTAGTCGTGCAATAAAGCAAGGTAGTGTTTATGGGAAGGAGCCAAGGACTTACCTGAGAGCAGGAGAACCTTAAGCCTTAGTCAACAAGCATGGCAAGGCTACAAGACCATGAGTCAGATAATAGGGCAGAACACCGAAAACACCGTTCTGTTTATTTCTGTGGAGACTTTGTTTGTTTTGGCACAAAAACAAAACAAAAAGTAATGGAAAATCTAATTTACAGTGTTTACACCTCATCCCAAATGTAGCCAAGACATGCCTGGTGTCTGAGGTTTGCTCCTTAGTTTTACACTAGAGCTGCAAGGCTAATGTAGCTAACAAATATCATATCTTCAAAATAGTAACTTTGCAGAACAAGGAAAAATTCTAAACTTCTAATGGAAGTTAAAAATAACAACCATTTACATGAACCATTTCTGTTGGTCCGTTCATCATGAAATGGACAGGATAACTAGAGTTTTCAAATTATGCAAAAAAGTTAAAAAATGACAAAACTAGCCACGATCTACTGCAACAACTTAAGCTGATATACACTTTTGAGAAGATGCACATAAACATACTGGCACTGAGACACAGAATGGGTTCATGAGTAGGCGTAGCTCGCTGAGACCACAACACGTACACCTCCAAAACCACAACTATGCACTGAACCAGAACTGGTGCCAAATCAAACGGAGTACTTTGATGTCCGGCTGGCTAAAGAGATTCTATGTTACAAACATTTACATGATCCAATCCTCAAAATATTACAAAACAGTG